AATCCTAGTCGAAAGAGATAATGATCATCCAGGACTCCACTTAGCTTTATGTCCTGCGTGATTCTTGACGAACTTTTTCTTAAATTCAGCCCAAGCGTCTTGCAATTTTAGTGTGTGACAACTGTTTATTGTTTTTTGAATCGGAATACATTTTTTTGAAATCTATCGTGGATTTCCTTTTTTCACTCACTAAAAAATAACAGCAGGTGCCAATCATACAGCTGAATTGAGTAAAAATTAAGCAAAGGGGTATCCTGAAGCAAACGTGTCACACTCACCCATAGGCAGAATGACTTTTTCATTAAAAATAGAGAGAACATCAGTATGTTTCCACTTGAAATCCTATGTTCATGCAATTAAAAACAGTTATCAATTATTTATTGACCAACTGCGGCCAAACAAGGATCAATCTTGCCTGTAGCCGGGTTGAATGGTGACCTTACAGAGTGAGCGTGTTCGTGGAGTGACTTTAGAGATTGAGCGCAATATTGGGAGCTTGGAACGATTCCGCGGTAAGAATTCTGAAGTACTTGCACTATCGATGAACGTTCGGGATTTTGGGGAGGGATGGAACAATGCAGTATTTTAGGTACCATTGAGCTGCGCACGATACCGGACGCGAAAGACGCATGCTGAGCACAAACTTATTCGTGGTATGATCTTGACCTGAGTCTCACAAAAGTTCGGCAATTTGCGTTCGAGCTCCCTTCTCTGTCTACGCTAATTTTTAAGGGAGTTTAGTATTTCGCTGCAGAGAGAACTTGAAAGATTCACTTATTCTCGATAGAATAAGTACTGATGTATGTACGTCAGCGAGTGTGCACTATTGGGAAGGGGGGGGGGCGTACGAATTTTGGATTGGAAGGTTGAATCTGGGATAGAGAATGGTTGTGAGTTTTAGAAAATCTGTGAGTGGGGCGTTCTTCTTGAAAAAACTTGCCTGGACATTTTTTGAAAGTTTGAGGATTTTACCGTTTCATCTGACATATCCCCCTCCGCGCACATTCACGCATTTTCGTGAAATACTATAGAAACATTCATGACAGACAAACTTTACCCTCTCTCCGCAATTGATTTTTGAAGGAAAAACTATAAATATTTAGGGACACTTGTGAATATTAGGGGAGCGGCCTGACAAACAAACTCTGGTTTATGCAGTGCGTACCAGAAGTATGTGGACACCAGGGTCAAGCGAGGCGTCGAGGAAAATTTGGAAATACGACCCCCCCCCTCCCTCTGCCGAAGGCCGAAGTCCATGAAACAACCCTCTTCAAAAGCCGAACTATGAAAAAGTTGTTTAAAGCAACCACCAGGAACGAATTCGCGGGCCAAGGAGCACCTATATGG